ATAGCATTTTCTGGTTTCCTAACATTTTAATTCCACCCATATCAGATATCTTTAGTAACAAAATGAAACCAAATGCCTATTAACTAGGTCTCTCAACGTGCAGGAATCAATTCCTTTCCATTTAATCTAATACATTTTTGCTAATTACCTGCCTTGTAGAAGACCCTGTGCTAAGTGCAGTAAAGATTAGATAGTTAATGGGATCTTATTTCCATGCTCAAAAAAATTTACAATCAAGCTGTTGGACATATGAAACAAACTATAGTCGGTTATAAAATGAAGAATGGTAGCCATCTCTCTCTAAGATCTTTGATCACGCTAGTAGTCTATCATTTTAGTAGATTCACTTCAGCTTCGAGAGTTAAAAAAAGGATTTTTGGACAAAGGTAATATTTGAGTTGGGCTCCAAAGCAGTTATACATAAAAGGATTGACAATCACCTGGAGGGAATGGAATTGGCGGGGGCACAGAACAGAGACTTGCAAGACTCAATAATGATCTACTCTTTATAAAGCACCTAGAATTTTGACAGTGGAAAACCACAACAACTAGGGGTTTCCAGGAAAAACAGATGCTAAAAAGATCCCCCAAAGCTGAATGATGCGATGTGTCTAGTATGAAGTACTGGCCTTTTAGGACCCACTCACTATGATGTCCATGAAATGATGTTTTATCATGATCACAGAATCGACTTAACTAGATCCTGTCAGGGAGCTGTATTTCATGGTGCTGTATTCACACACCCCCTCCACAAGTAGTCCCCCCGCCAGACCCTTTATGTTTTGTAGCCACCCGAAAGATAAATGTGCCTTTGAGAAATGATTTATTTATCATTTATTTAGACGAATTTTCCTTCTCCCTCAACCCATCTGTAACTTATACTCAGAAATGTTTTAGTAGACTCCCCTCCCTCCGCCCCCCAACAATTTTCAAATAATACTAGTGTATGTAGCTAACATAACAAACAGGGCTTAGTTTTCATTTTCATCCGCCTTTCCCGTCCTGCTTTCTGAAACGGAGAGCCTGTTCTCAGCGGGTATTTCTCTTGGTGCCATGCTCACAATCGCTGTGCCATCC